AGTATATTAATTTACTTTACTACGGTCTTAGATATCGATAAAGAGAATCGACGATTTAGGGAAACTATTCACTTCTTATATATCCTCGCTAGACTAGTCTAGTCTATCTAACTTCTCGGTATCGATCTTCTCCTTTTAGCTAGCGAGCGCGATTACCAATAAAAGTACCCTAAGGTACACGAGTAGTTCCTTTAGTCTCGCCATAACTTTCTATACAATAGTACTAGTACCCTAATAAGTAAACTTATTAATCTTTTCGTATATAGTAAATATATTACTCTTAATATAAGTAATAATACTACAATTACTTAATTATATAATAAATAAACGATATTCTATAAAGACGTTATTATTCTACTAGTTATATTTTATACTATAATCTATAAAAATATCTAATAAATAGAGATACTCCTTTAAGAACGACTTATATAGATTTAATCCCTAAAGGAGTATTTTATCGTCGACCTTAATTAGATCGAGGATAACTAGACCCTATCGATATATAGGTATTTATTTACTAGTTAAGCCGCTAATATCTACCTCGATAATAGTCGAGAGTAAATATTTTAATATATACTAGGACAACGTAATAAATATCAACTATAAGATAGCGATAATATCTAAAAACGCGACAATATTCGCTAATAGTTAAGCTCTACTAAATAATTTCTAGAATAATTTCTTTTCGCGGTCTATTTAATATATAGCTCCCTTACTCGCGGTATTAAGCTAATTACTATCTATTTTCGTAACAAGGCGCTTTAGAATTATAATTACTTCCTTATCGATAGCATTAGCACTATTATTATTCGTTACTATAAGTCTTAGTAGCTATTCGACGCCCCTAAGATTATCCCTCGATTTCTCTCGTACACTATTAGCTAGCTTCTTATAGTCTACCTTATCTATATTTAGCCGTTTCGTAAGTATCTTCTCGTTTAGACCTAAAACTAAACTTCGTATAACTATATCTAGTATAGTTTAAAGGGGTCGTAGAAGATCGACTACCTTACGCGCATTATTTAACGAGAGATTAGTATCAGCCTTAGTTATTAATTTTATATACTAAATTTCTACTATATCGTTATTAATATTAGTCGCGTTATAATAAATAAGAGATTCGCTATAAAGTATAAGAGAGAACTAAAGAAAATAGAAGAGCTAGACGTAGACCTCTAAGATCTCCTCGAGATATAAAATAGACGAGACAATACTATAGATACTAGACGATATAGGGTACATACCGATATCCTTAAGTATTTAATACCTAAATTAATCGATATCTTTCGTTCTATTAATAAAGGGTAGTATCGTTTCCTTAACCTCTCTAGTATAGCTATTAACCTTTATACTCGATCCTCTATATCTTATACATCTCGCGCGCCTATAACTACTATATCGAGAACTATAGAAGACCTTAATAAGCGTTCTAGTCGCGACTCCTAGGAGGCCTCTCGATTAACGCCGCGCTAGCAAGTATTATTTATTACGATAAAGAGCCTAAACCGAGACTCGACTAGCTATAGCACTAGTAATAACTATCTCTCGATAAATTCGATTATTATTACTTATACTAGAATACTTATTATCTCTTCTAGTAATTATAATTATATCGACGATATTCTATATTATAGTATAAAAGATAAAAATATTGATCCTATTAAACCTCTTAGGCCTAAAGATGACGACGTCAATTCTAACTATATTCTATACTATAGTCTAAGAGATATAGACGTCGCTATAATTCTATTTAAGAGCCCTATATTTTTATTTACGCCGATAATTAAGGAACTATTCTTATCTAAAGAAATCGAGGGGACTCTATATCGACTATTTAGACCTAGGCGCGTCTCGTTTTACTCTTAGATATAGAAGGAAAGGGTTATAGCGGTACTCCGCCTAGAAACCTCGATTACCATAGTCCTATCTACTAAGAACAAAAAGACGTTACTAGCTCTACTATCTATACTACTCGAGTCTACGGACGTATCTATTTTCGTCGTATTGTTTCGCGCTCTCGTGGATAATCTCGTGACTTAGTTTACTAACGTCGATATTAACTACTACGAATAGACGGTCTAAGCCCTATTAAGGGTCGCTTAAGTTATCGTCGTTAGTGCGAATATTATCGTAAACGATTATTTCTTTACCTTCGCTTATCTTCTTATATAAAAGGGCCTCCTTCGATAAATCTTTATAAATAAGTATTATACTATCTTTACTAATAGCTACTAATATAAAAAGCTATCCTAGATCTCGTATATTTAAAGCCTAGATTATTTAATTTATCTTTTTATCGTTACCCTACTATCGATACGCGTATACGAGCTTAAGAATAGTATAGTAGTACGAAATACTCGTATTATTTAAGGTAGTATAGTCCGTCCTCGCTATCGATATCTTATTTAAGTATATTTTTTTAATCGACTCGAGGCATAGACCGTAGAGATCTACCGATATTGTCTTTATTACCTAGTTAGCTATAGTAAGAGAGGGGTAGTATATAGTCTCTTAAAGGACGTCTATATATTACTCGCGGCCGCTTTTGATTATTATTACTATTACGCTAGCGATTAAAACCGCGCGAAGCGACTAAAGAGTTAGGTTTAATATAACGGGCTTATTGTAGCTACTTTAGTACTTAGTATTAGCGTTAATATCGCGAATATTATATTCGTTCTTTATATCGATCTTCTATACTCGATAATTAACTTTACTTAATAGAGTAATTATATTAAATACGAGGGTAAATTCGTCGACTCTATTATCCTCGCCCTTCTCGGGAAGATCAAGGGAAGGCTTTATCGCGTAGGTCTTAAAGATAAAGAGAAGGCCGTAGTAATATTTATAGCGAGTATAAGCTATCGCCGTTATATTATAAGTATATATCTCGATAGTAAGGCCCTCGCTCGATCCTATTTAGACGAGAGGATATAAGCTCGTTACGATCGCTATAGTAAAGGCGTCTACGAGGTAACGCGTCAAGTCTAGGAAGAGAAAAACGCTCGTACCCTCGTCGAAAAGTACCTTGGGCGCTAGACGGTTAGCTATCTTTAATATAATATAGATATTGAGATATCTAACGCCGCGGAGATCCTATATTTAACCTTAAGCTACTTAGGTCTAGAGAGATTATAGAGATAGGTCGAAGCCTTACGATCTTAAATTCGATATATATCGGAAATATACTTATACTTCTATTATAGGATTAATTAATATCTCTATATAACGAGGACTAATACTATTAATACTTATTAATAACTAAGGGTTATAGCCGTCGTTCTATATCTCTCGCTTATTAACGAAATATTTTATCTCTCTACTTAATAAGCGAGGTATACTAGCGAGTATAGCGATTATAGCGTCGAAGTTTATCGTTAATAGATTAGCTAATAATATAAGTAGCGAATCTAGGGAGAGAATATAAGTAACGATATAATAGTCTTAATTTATATTGTTTAACGATATAGTATATAGATTTTTTATCGAGATTAAAATACTAAGTTAAGATATTTTTAAAATAAATATACTTATTATCCTAGATTAGTAGTTTCTAAAGATTAGTAATTTACTTTAATTTAGTTATTTTAAATATTAAATAATTTATTCTTTTAATTTAAAGTTAAATACTAAACGATTTATTACTTTAAGTAAAAAAATAAATAAAGATATTAAAAGATTTATTTATATTAATTATTAGATAAAGTATTTAAAAGATATTAAATATAGAATTATAATAATAAGGCTAAATTAAAATTAATAAGGTTAGTAAATTTATTTAATTATTTCTTTATATTAAATTATAATAATAAATTAATTATAAATTAATTATAAATTAATTATAAATTTATAATTAAAAGAATTTAATATAAATAGTATAAATTTTATAATTTATATATATTATATCGTTAATATATAAAGATATATAAATAATTAAATAAAATTTAAAAAATTCTACCCGTATAACTCGGCTTAGGGAATAGAAAAATCTCCCCGTTTTTCGATCTTTTATCGACTCTAATGGCCTTTAGGAAGGCTTAGCTATCCGTTAAACTCTTTTGTAACCTTGTCTAATTGATATTCAATATCGACGCAATATATTAATTTCGGACGACAAGGGAGTTCCTTAGTATACCGGGTATGCCAGAGACTTCCTTAGCATACCGGGTATACTAGAGACTTCCTTAGCATACCGGGTATGCCAGAGACTTCCTTAGCATACCGGGTATGCTAGAGACTTCCTTAGTAAACTAGGCTAGTAGGAAAGTCGATCTTATATTATAATATAAGAGACTCCTCGATAGTCTTCCTCCCTCGATATCCCTCCTTTTCTTTTTATATTTCGATAATCTTCCCCTTCTCCCTAGTTCATTATATTAATATGATAGACTCCTCGATATCCCTTCTCTTCTTTTTCTATTCGACAATCTTCCCCTTCTCCCTAGTTCATTATATTAATATAATGGACTCCTCGATAGTCTTCCACCTCAATCATTGTTCTCTTCTTTCCCTTCGCTCCTTTCTCTGCTCTACTTTCTACCGAACTTCACTTGTACAAGTAAATTAGCCTGAATATCATCTTCAGCATTATTGCTTCCCCTTGCTAGGAAATATCGTGCGATATCCTCCCTTACAAGGTATCCCGTAAACAAGAGTAATTATCGTACTAGACGTATTAAACTCTTCCTTCCGTGACGATAAACTCCTCTCGCTACCCTAGACAGATCGTTATAATGCGCTTCCAGTAATGGAGGCTACAAGATTTGCCCAAAGTCCCTCGACGTTAAATTGTCTACGTAACCAACGGACTTACGTATACTGATAGGCTTAGCGCTCGGCTCTACCATATTTTGTTTACCTAATATCATTCCCATCACCCCCCGAAACTTTTCTTTTGCATATACAGTATCTCTTTCTAAATACATCGTTCTTCTCTCGGTCCTCTAATTCTTAAAGCTTCCTATCATTCAAAGTCCGAAAGGCGTCTTTAGGTTCCTAAGATGGCTAAAGCCGCTAAGGTATCCCTTGACGATATTAAGTATACCGCCGAAGCAGTGAGTTCTAATTATAGATGAGCCTTAGTGACGGAAGACTAATTTCGATCCGATAGGCTTATATCCTAGCGTAGGGATATATCGATAGCTTCAAAGGTAAGGACAAGGACCTAGCGAAGAAAAAAGCGCGGGAGGCTATCGCACCCTATAACTACCCTCTCTCTATACCTAGTAGAATAGACCGCTAATAAAGGTACTAAGTTATTCGAGACAAGAATAAAGACAACGGCGACGATACTGGCGAAGATAACGAATCTATAGAACTGAGCAGCTCCGACGAGGAAGATCGTGACAGTGGCGAAGAGGACGAAGATATAGAACTGAGTAGCTCCGACGAGGAAGACGATATCGACGATATAGATAACTCCGAGGATAGTGTTTGCGTTACCATAAAGACGAAGAGAGTCTCGGTCACCCGAAGCAAGAAAACCCTAGCGGCAATAAAGCAGGCTCGTCTAGTCACCAAGAAGTCGTCTACCAAAGAACGCAAGCGTCGTGGGGATGATACTGACAACGACACCAACAGCGATATCAATAAACGACGCAAGGTAACTGGCAACTACCGTGGCAGCAGGACTAAGGGCAGAGTCTTCAAGGCCGGCAAACTCTCCAAGAGCAAGTGAGCCCTAGCCGTTGGGTTAAATACGACCGTCCTTATGCTAGGCCAGTAGATACGTTAACATATAGCCCTTTAGATATTGTTAAGGACTTGGGAGTAGGGGAGTACGTCGAGAGAGTAGCTAGTTTTAATAGTACAAGGCTATAGCTCTTGTATAAATTAAACGAACTATACCTATATTCTCTACGACGTATAAAGTAGTTCTCGTCGGATTTAAATTCTTTATCTACTACTTAGGTAAGATCTCTTCGTCCGGATTCCCTTTTTGAATTCGTGCTTATAGGTTACTCGAAATGTCTCCTCTATTCTTACAATCTACGGTGACCGACTACTCGCTGCTACAATCTACCTCTTCCCTAGCATTGGTCCCGTTATTAGCATCCGTTTTCTCGTTAGTACCGGTCTGACCTCCTTATCTTATCTTATCGCTAAGGATAATCTTATTATAAAGCTAGGTGTCGTATCCTCTCGTGGTGCCGGTAGATTCAGATTCCTCGCCGTTACTAAACGTGATCCCTCCAAAAATGGCGCCTAACCTCGGCGGCTATATAAGTGTTAGAAGCATCGATGTATGTTGTGCGATCCCGTCTTGTACTGGGCTTAATGCTCTGGTCTCCTCGTCTTCCCTGTTCGGGAACCATTCGCTTCTAGTTCGCTCTTGGTGATCTGGTATCGTGCTTTTGCTTTGATATTCGCTATGCTTGGTATCGTCGCGGTAGAGGATTACGTCCGCGTAGGCCTAATAGTGCCCGTGCTTAAGGAGGCGAATTGTAGAACTAGAATAGTTAGAAAGCGGACCCTTGAAGTATGGATTGCAACGTACAAGATAGGTTATCTATCGCTTTTGAGCCACGCCACAGTTCTATCCCGTTATAGAGTCTAGTATTCTGGTAGCCGCGGCTCTCCGGGCGTCACTAGCAATCCTGTGAGGCGCGCGAATTCAAAAGGATATATCTAGGTAATGTCTCGGTCGAGACCGCGAAGCCGAGATAATCGGGACACAAAGCAATGGCCGTTGATAGTGGAAGGGAGAGAAGAATAATGATAGTTAGCTGGTAAGCGAATTTGGGCGTGCGCGAAAAGTGAGCCTACCATACCAGTATGCCCTGCCAAGTATTTTACCATTCGGTTTCCCATCCCACCGCTTAATTCACGGAGATCCTAAATTGTTTATGTATTTCTATCTCTCGCCAAAATATACGATACGCTCCCCTAAGCATTAATCAAGTTCTCTAACTATGGCTCGCGCCGAGTTAAAGGCGAAGTACATTGTTCGTACGTCCTAGGCGTCATTTATAGATTATCTCGACTAACTTGAACAACAGTCTCTTACTCTCGTTAAGATGAAGTCCAAGACTCCTACTCCCGTTAAGATAAAGTCCAAGACTCCCACTCCCGTCAAGATGAAGTCCACGACTCTTACCTCCAAGTCCCCTACCACGCAAAAACTTAAGTCTTCCACCCCGGATAAGTCTAAGACTGGCTCGGCCAAAACTAAAGCGAGCGGTACTGTAGAGACCCGTTCTTTTGAAAGCGTATTGACTAATATCTTTTGCCTTTAGTTATAGGTATTAAACGTCGTCGTAAAAAGGTTGACACCGACTTCGACTCCGACACCGATTCTAAAGAAGTAGAAACGACTAGTAAGAGTGATACTAGTAACGAGACCACCGACTCTTTATCTAATGAGGATAAATACTCTATTGCTACGAAGCTTGCTATGGCTAAGAAGGTAATCTATTATTACTTCGAAAATACAGCCCAAGCCTAAAAGCGTATTATTAAACTAGAGGCGAAGTAGGCGGCAGCTTTAAAGAAGGAGAAGCAAGAACGTCGCAAGAAGCAGAAGCAAGAACGTCGCAAGAAGTCTAAGCTTTCCCCCAAAGGCAAGAAGTCCAAGAAGGCTTAAGTTAAGATAAGGATGATACAAAGCTAGATAATACGAGCCTAGTGAATTCAAGATACGGGTTATTTAGATGATGAGGTTATATTTCCTCGAGCTAGGCATTAAGTCTTTTGGGACGAAGGGATAAACGCGTATCTCTTAGTGTAATTTTAGTCACCTAGAATACTATAGGGCTTATTTAGATCAATGATTGCAAAATAGTCATCTATATTCCCGCTTCGTATATAAGATAGTGGTCTCCTTGTAAATCCCCGTAAGGGACGTATTCCCGCTTAACCCCAAATACTCCTTAGACCCTCTTACTAAGCCGGCTTTAGGGACGATGGTAGAAGTACTGGGCCGCCTCGATATACTTCCCTCTCTTGGTCCACTATACTAATATGGTAGACTCCTCGATATACTTCTCTCTCCCGGTCTACTATACTAATATAGTAGACTCCTCGATATACTTCCCTCTCCTAGTTCACTATACTAGTATGCCTAGTAAGTTAAGACGGTCGAGGCGTTACCCTAGGATAACGGTGACTTGTTTCATTTTGTAGAGGAAAACGACCTCGGTAGGAAGTAGGCCAGAAGGTTAAGGAAATGCTATTTTAGATAGATCAATACAATAAAACACCTTGAACGTAAGGCCTTACTATTGTAGACAGTGCCTTAGAATACAAACATAGGCGCAGCCTCGCCGCGTAACGCGCCGAGCATTTATCGACGTCTTTAGAATATAAGTGCTATCTACTCGAAAGGATGTAATCCTACAACAGAAATAGATCTCTTGGTGCTTCTTCTCCCCGTTTCTCGTGTCCGTGCCACAATGATCCAACTGTATAGGAAGCTCAGTACCGTCGGCATCGTACCCAATAGTACGTTCATCGTAGTAGGCGGAGTACTATTAAAAACTCTTCGCTAAACGATAGTACGCGTTAGTTAATGACCAGTTATACTTTACGTCTATATAGACCCCGCTAGCCGACCGCTTATTGGCTACGTAGTTTAATAGGGCGGGTAGAATATAGTCGGCGACTATTTCTATTGCGATAGAAGCTTAGCGCTAGCAGAAGTAGGTCATTCTCTATAAACTATAGAGTGTAAAGATAGACCGAGGCTAGATATGGCACCGCTTAGCTTCTTGGACTGTCTACCCTAGCTTACGGGCTAAGTGGTACGCTCGTTGTACCGCTAGGACGAGGCACTCCTTGTGGTGGGCTTCACCCGTAGCGAAGTAGGGCAGAGACTTAGAGGTATTAAAGTCAACCCAGATTTCGCAATTCAGAGAGAATAGTTGCTTAACAACCGACTTTTCAATGTTGGATATATCCGACACCGCCAAACGGACTTGAAAGCTTCGTCGGCCGATGCCATTGATCCACTTGACCACGGACCGGTCGACCGTGTCTAAACACTAAGTTTTACCTACCTAAGACGGTGAGTACGCGGCGGCGATGATTACGTGCTACGTATTTGCTAGGCCCTCGATTAGAAGGAGATTGAGGTCCCAGAGCAATATATATAGTACGACTTTGCCAGATAGTGTGAAGAGATAGTTGTTCTATAGATAACGACCAAGTGTCGGATCCGACAGCACTACGCGGCGCTAGACCCTTTAGCGGAGTGCACCGTTAGTAAAATTCACCTGTTCGCCGCGACGGGTAGTCAAGTTATCCTATAGATGACGGAAAATATTTATCCATAGCTCCGTTGGTAGCTGCGGCAGCGTTTTTCGACTTTCTAGGATCGATCGTACCCTATCCAAGGAGGCCTAATCGTATATTTTTGTCCTGGCTGCCCACTTCTCGATTATAGTATTCTTAGATTCGATCTTAGGCACGAGGAAAGGAAGAGGTGAGCGCGAGGCCGACATTTTCGACGAAGGCCCTACATTGACACGCCGTTAGTGGCACGATAAACAGAAGGGCAAAGTATATACTAACCAAGAGGAAGGATAAAAAGGGTGGAATAATAGTGCCGGACGTTTAGGGCCCCAATACAATATTGTGGTGTCTAGAAAGGTAAGGGAAGTTAAGAAATAGGTCGCGATAGAGAAGCGTTTTAGGATACTGGGAGCTTGAAATTCGGAAGGATTTTGGGGGTCAATATACCGGTATGCTAAAAGCGTGATTCGATTATTTGTTTATAGTGCGGCAGTAGGGCATCACTTTAGATTAACCTAGTCTTTACTACTTTTGATTAACCTATTCTCACCACTTTAGATTAACCTAGTGTTTATAGATCACCCTATTGTCTTGATAGCTATCTCTCTATTAATATTCTCCCACTAACTATTCTCTACTATCACTCGCACCACTCCTCTTATTATATCGATTGCCTCTTTCTATCTCACAGGAGCTTTTCTACCGTGACGCCACCATGGTTCCTAAATCCATTAAGGGTGGAAAGTCTAAGGTCGCCGTGAGTTGTCTCCCTGGTCTAGTAGAGATAGAACACCTTGCTAATAAACTCTTTTTAGGTAGGCTCCCTTAAAGCAAAAGTTACTAGGGGAAGAGTTCTAGGTTAGAGCACCTCTCTAGTGACTAAGACGTTAACCACTGTTATTAAACCTAATGGCGACATTAAGATAACCGTCACTAGTGAGACGAAAATCCTACTATCCCGTTGAATATAAACTAACTTCTAAACAGTGAACAAGACTAAGCGCGCTATTGTCGAGATAAGCTCTAGCTTTAGCTCCGGCTCTAGCGACAGCGATAGCGATAGCGACGCGAGGCAGGCTATGGCTGCGGCGAAATCCACCCTAAAGTCTAGCTCCAAGAAGACCTCCACCCTAAAGTTAAGCTCTAAGAAGACTTCCACCCTAAAGTCTAGCTCTAAGAAGATCTCTACCCTAAAGTTAAGCTCTAAGAAGACTTCTATCTTAATGTCTAGCTCTAGCTCTAGCTCCGGCGATAGTAATAGCGACAGCGATAGCGATAGCGACGCGATGTAGGCTACGGCTACGGCGAAATCTACCCTAAAGTCCAGCTCTAAGAAGACCTCTACCCTAAAGTTAAGCTCTAAGAAGACTTCCATCCCAATGTCTAGCTCCAAGAACACCTCCACCCCAAAGTTAAGCTCTAAGAAGACCTCTACCCTAAAGTCTAGCTCCAAGAAAGCTAGAATTACTTAAGACAATGATACGCTTATAAACCTAGCCCCGCTATCCAAGAAGATTAAGAAGAACTATACGGCTGGTTATAGTAAAGTGTATATAGTATACCTCGAATAAGCAATTTACGCCTCTATCTCTAGTAGTTAGAAATATCGTCCTTAAAGGGCTAAATAAAGAATACTAGTATTGCTGAATAGTAATTTATACTAAATGGACCTCTCTAAGAAACGTAATTCCTACTTTCTACCCAATCCATTTCCTTGAAAGTACATCACTGGGTATATATCGAAAGCGTACTATATGCTGCGTACTGTATCCCTTGAAAGTAAGTATGCTTAATGCTGCGTGCTCGATGCTGCGTGCTTAGTGCTGCGTGCTTGGTGCTATATATAGCGATACGCGTAATGGACAAGGCAATGTGCTAAATAGAGGTAATTCGATCGATTCTATCGGTGTCTTTCTAGATAGATTGTAGTCCCCATGCTCAGTCGGTGCTGATCATTCTGCTTGATTCGTTGCTGGCTTTTATAGCCTTCCCTCCAGCCTTCCACCGGTTCCATAGGTTGAATTTTAGCGTGCTTGCCCGACACCTCCTCTTTCAGCCTAGGGGCTTTGACTTCGCGTTTCCGCTTTTTGCGGATATAGTCGACCTAGGCCCCGACGTACTGAATACCGACCCGGACCTACCGGTTTCCCGGTGGGCGCTTCTTCCCCAAAGTTAGTACTCGCTCTACATGTTCTTTTTTTGCTTTTACGGGAGATAGTAGTCTCGTCGGCCCTTCTACTTCGACGTTTAGCGGTCGTAGATAACCAAGGATTTCTACGTAGAATAGATATAGTAGAAAGGGTCTTAGATTCTATATCTATAGATAGGTCTTTATCGATAGCCGAGTCGAAGAGATAAAGACTGTAAAAAGACGACGCGGATGTAGATAAAGACGGAGAAAGCATCTATCGATAGCGACCTAGTAGATATTCAGCACATAATGCAGTAAAGTTAGCTAATTTATACGTGGTTGATACTTAAGGTTGATTCGAGCCTTAATGGCCGGAGACGCCGACGAAGGTCTTGCGTTTAAGCCACTAGTGGACGTAGTAGACGTATTAAAGTTATTGTTATCGTCGTCGAAGAGGGCGTTCTTCTCTAACTACTCGCGGCTTAGGTTAGTTCGTATTTCGATAGAATAGGGTTAGGGTTAGGGTTAGGGTTAGGGTTAGGGTTAGGGTTAGGGTTAGGGTTAGGGTTAGGGTTAGGGTT